ATCACCACCACTACTACCACCACAGGGGCCAGGGGAGGCAGCCACCCTGAGGAGCCACCCCCACGGCCCAGCCGCAAGAGGAAGCTCCTGGAGGACACAGAGTCGGGCAAGACGCTCCTGTTGGATGCCTACCGCGTGTGGCAGCAAGGTCAGAAGGGCGTGGCCTATGACCTGGGCCGTGTAGAGAAGATCATGTCTGAGACCTACATGCTCATCAAGCAGGTTGGTGGTAGGTAGGGATCCCAGGGGCATCCCTGCTCTTGTCTTTCTGTTCTCAAGGAGTGTCATCCCAGCTGTTCAGATGGGCCCAGGCCTGCCCCTGGGGTGGGTTTTAGGTGTCATTATCACCCTAGTCTCACTGTGCAGTTCTGCAGTGAGCTCCACAAAGTCTCTATTCCACCTGAAAAGGAATCGAGACCACATCACAGAAGCCTCATCACATCTAATGCAGGGAGACAGGACTCCTGCTCCCACCGCGGTGCTGGCCTCTAGGGGCATCTTGGGCACTTCCTTCAAGACTTCTGTAGCTGCCATCTAAAGGTGACTGCATTGCCCTGAGTGTGACCAGAGAGCCTATGGTTCTTCGTATCATGCTTTCTTTTATTTTAATGTATCAGGCACATACCTTTTCCTCTACTTAAAATTATTTCTATAGGAAGAATCCCTAGAATGTCAGTGACTAGCCCACATAGGATGACCATTCCTGATATACAATTTTCCCCAAAATCATGCCAATTTGCTGTGCCACTTTTGCAAGCACCTGTCATATCTCTACCTCCCCAGCATGCAGACAAACCACTTTCATTTGTTTTCCTTGCTAATTACTTGGAAAAAAATCTCAGTGCTGCTTTTCTTGCTGGTAAATTGGGTCCTTCCCTGCCTTGTCCTCTCCCCTGGTCTTGCTCAACAGACTGTGGCTGTGTCCCTCACACCCTGTCCACCACTCATCCAGGGTGTCCCCCAAGCCTCCCCAATCTTGTGCCAACCTTGGGCTTTGGGTCTTTGGGACACACTTGGCACAGTACAGGGCTGTCACCATCAGGCCTGGGATTCTGAAAGGCCTCTCCCACTCTGATCACATGGCCCTCCATCCTGCCTGAGGCACAGGTTCTAGCTCTGAAGACTGCCCTCATCCCCTGTCAGCTGGGCCTCAGCTGAATTTGAAGGCTTGGTTACAGCCCTGAGTCCCCCTGCCAGCCTCAGCCCTTGAGAACATCAATAACTCATCCACAGAAATGAATTTGGTGTGGCCAGACAAGCCCAGAGATGTGGCTGTGTCCGGTCCTGACACCAGCAGCTGGTGTGGTGGGACTGGCACCCCCTCCTGGTAGATGGCTGAGCATTTGACCCCGCTTCCCAGCCAGGACTGAGAGGGGACATCTGGGATCAGCCAACAGCAGGGAGGGCTCGTCGGTGGAGTCTGAAGGTGGTGGCAGACATGGGCGCTGCTCATAGGCTTGTCTGTGCTGCTACACAGTTGGGCAGGGAGGAGGCAGGAGTAGAGAAGGCCAGCCACCATGGCCTGGGCCCCCTGACCTCAGGCATCTCCTTGCTCAGGTGGACGAGGAGGCTGCGCTGGAGCAGGCTGTGAAGTTCTGCCAGGTCCACCTCGGGGCTGCTGCCCAGAGACAGGTAAGCCCCACCCAGCCTGTGCCGGCCTCCCCTTTCAGGGCCTGCCCCACACCAAGGCCCCAAGATGCAACCTGAGACTGTTCCTATGGTCAGCGAGGGCCTGGGGGGGATGGGCAGGAGGCGGCCAAGCCTGAGGTCCATGGGAACCAGCCTGGGCTGGGTGCCACCCACAGTAAGAAGGGCCTTGACAGCATCCAGACCCAACCTATACATGCGTTTGTGTGTGACCTGAGAGGTCTCTTCGCCTCAGCTTCCTTTTCTATAAACAGGGAAACGTGCCTCTAGCTAACTGACCTCACCTGGAAAGTTCATTCCATTTGGGAGAGAAGTAGAGGAAGTGATGTTAGAGCCAGGTTGACAAAGAGCAAAGTGGTGGGGCCATGAGGGGTGGGGTGGAGATGTAGCCTGTATAGGGGCCATGTGGGGGTGACGTGTCCTAGGAGAGTAGGTGGTGTTTAGCAAGCAGAAGAGGGAGCGGATGGAGAGGATGGGTTGGTGCAGGGACTAGACCAGGGTCAGGGGGTCCAAGAGATGGTGAGAAAGTGGGTGGCATAGTGGAGGGTAGGTAGAGCCCCTTCCTGGAAAGTGCCTGGGAGGGCTTCAAGCCAGAGTCAGGGTTGGGCTTGTGTTGAGTCTGAGGCTTTTTCAAGGGAGAGGCCAAGTAAGCAGAAAGGTCAATGGGCTGCTGCCTGAAGAGACAGCCCAGGCCAGAACCCTGGTGTAGGTCCCATGAAGCCATCAGTGTGGGCCAGAGGCCAGGAGAGGGTGCATACACAGAGAGGAGACTCAGAACAGGACAGGGCTCTGTCCAGGAAGGAGAGTGTTCCCAGGGGCCAGCTGGTCAGAGGGGCTAGGGCAGCGAAGATGGGGACCTGCTGGCTCTGGGAAGCCAGGTGCTGGGGCTATTTTTGAGGCATGGTGGGGCTAGACAGGGCTTGAGCAGGAGATATGGAAGGGGACCTGGGGCTGAAGGAGAGAGGTCTCCATGGGAGAGGCCCGGCTCGAGGGAAGGCACAGGGTCTGACTGTAAGGAGGGGTCCTGCTGACTGAGTAGATGGGAGGGGTGGGATCAGGACTCAGTGGGAGGGTGTCAGGGTGGGGGCAGGCATGGCAGGCAGAAAGAGCAGGTACTCTCATCTAAAGCAAAAGCCTCCAGGACAGAAAATAAGTGGCATGCCATTTGAGTAGGTGCAGTCTCTTGTCCCCAGGGGTGATCCAACTGCCCCAGGTGGCCTCATCCCAGTTTCCCCAGCAGCCTGCTGGTGGCTACTCTCAAGGTCCAACTGGGCTTCTCAGTGAAATAGGGCATTAGGCCCCCACACCCTGCCTGGGCTCTAGGTCTAAAGAAACCCAGGGAGTTGGGGTACACCTTTGGCTAAGCAGGTTGTGGGCCATCTCAGGGTCCCCCAGGGCCACCTCATCTGCACTCCCAACCCCAAAGGGGACCCCAAGCCCTCGCACCCAGCTTGAACTGCCTCGGGAAGGTAAGCCGGTCCTCCTGCCGAGAGCCAGAGCCCTTGGCAGGACGTGCCCCAAACCCTCAACGGTCCCTACCACTTTATTACTGTCCAGGTAGGCAGGGAGTAATATTACTTCCAGCATAGCATCGTGGCCTCCAAAAACCCCAGCGTGGCATCTTCTCCAGGGGACAAGCAACTACAAGGGCTCCAGGGCAGGATACAGGTCCTGGTTCACCAGGGTACCCCTCCTGCCTCCTCCACTGGCCCAGGTGGGGCAAGACAGGTGAGAGTGACCATTCAGGAGAGAGGAGAGCTGTTTCTGACTTTTAAGGCACTTAAAATGATAGTTCCCAGCTGGGCATGGTGGTCTGTGCCTGTAGTTACAGCTACTTGGAAGGCTGAGGCGGAAGGATCGCCTGAGCCCAGCAGGTCAAAACTAGGGTGGCCATGAGTGGGTGTGCCACTGCACTCTCGCCTGGGCAAGAGAGTGAGACTCCAACTCAAAAATAAAAATAAAAATAAATAAAATGATAGTCCCACACAAGGAACTTCCTCTCCCTGACCTGAGAAGAAAGGGGTGCTGAGCTGGCAGAAGTCAAGGGTAGGCAGGGGCCCATTTGATGGGGGCACATGCATATCAGGGCCTCTGAGTGGTGGACAGTCAGAGGTTTCTGTCAGGGACTCTCAAAAGACAGGCTGGGTTATCGGAGTGGCCAGAGCCAAGGGACCTGTGTCCTTACTGTCAAGTTTTCTGCTGCTGAATGACACTAGGCCGGACTCCAGCAGTCCCCTCTCAGGGTGCGGAGGGAATGTGGAGGAGAGGCGACCCTGTGGTCCTCCCCATTGACATCTGGCCTACCTGCCCACTTCCTAGACCCTGTAGAGTGGGTTGCCTGTATCTGCCCTGGGCCTAGGGAAGATGCCGCTGTGGGTGGCTGCTCTCCACGAGTCCTCTCCTCCCTGAGCTCAGTGTCAGGAAGCCATTGCTTGCCTCCCTGTCTTTCTCCATGCTGGGCTTGTACTTTGTCCCTTCTCATTAGAGAAGCCACCAGGAAACCTTTTAAGCCCCCTAACAGGTTTCTCTGCCCTCCTGCAGTACCCCATGTCCATCTCAGTGTGGGAGGGCAGCCGAAGGAGAGGTAGAGCTGTCTCAAGGTCCCCCAGGGCCACTCCATCTGCACCCCTAGCCCTAGCACAGGACCCCACAGCCCTAGTACCTAGCTGGAACCACATTGGGAAGGCAGGTGGGATGGTCACAGCCATCCTGGGCCCGCATCTGACCCATGCTGGAAGGAGGAGGCTATGGCCATCAGAGCCCACTGCTCCCGCCCCTCAGGGAGTGTCCATTTTGCTCGCGGCATGTTGCCATGGCAGCTTTGCGCACGCCTGGAGGGCGCTCTGGACATAATTAGAGGCTCAGTTCCGTCACTGCAGCTGAGGCCCACTCCTGAACGCGGACAGGGTCTGCTCACGCTGGCATCGCCACAGGCCCACAGGGCCCCAAGAAACAGGTCTGTCCTGCCTGCCCTCTCTCTGGAGTCCTGCCCACAGCACATGGTTGGGCCCCAGGGTACCCATCTGGAGTTCTTCCCAGACACCCACTGCATAGCAGAGTCCATAGAGACCCTTCTGGAACCAAACAGAACTGGGGCAGGGCATTTTAGCAAAACAGCCAAAGAAATGGGTCGTCAGTGGAAGCAAACTGCCCCCCTATGCATTGAGGTGCTACCAAAGGTGTGTGGCTCCCCTACACTCACGGGGTGGGGGGTGGGGGTCCTGCCAGCCCGGTATGGCCACCAGTGAGCCTGGTGCTGGGGAGGGCCCAAGGGCTGAGGCTGGGCTCAAACATTGGGCTGGCTGCAGGTGGGGAGTAGGAGTGACCCATGGAACAAGCCCCAGAATGCCTCGTGGCAGAGGGAACTGGACAAAAACCTGGAAGCCCCTATGGCCTGGCTCACCTGGGAACTGAAGGCCTGTGCAGGAGCTGCTGAGGCCTGGCTGGGGCATGGGTACCAGGGAAGAGGGTGGCAGCAGGCTGTGGTATCAAGCCTGGGGGCATGGGGGTGGGCTCTTAAAGCATCCCCCAGCTCCCACAGGACCCTCCACTGGTGGCCCTTGGAAAGTCACTCTTCTCACACTAACTACCTGTTTCCTCCCAGGCTGATGCCATAGAGTGTGAAGGGGAGGCAGCTGCAAGTCCCTCCACTGAGCCCCAGCAGCACAGCCTGATTGTCCTCCCAGGCTGGAGTTCTGGGTCCCCAATTGTGTCCTGACAGTAGCAGGAGTGTCCTGACAGCGTGCCTCTCTACTGGACCTTGTTGGCAGCATTGTGGGGTCCAGTAATGCCTAAGGGCCATGCTGGCAACACCAGACAACACGGGTGGCCTGTGGGACCACATTGGTGGACTAGTGGGGGCAGGGCAGCGTGGGCTCAGGGCAGCCTGGTGGCCTTCCTCACCTCTTATTCTTCCTCACAGGCCTCGGGGGACACACCCACCACCCCAAAGCACCCCAAGGACAGCCGAGAGAACTTCTTTCCTGCAGCAGTGGCCCCCACAGCCCCTGACCTAGTGCCAGCCGACACTTCCCAGCGGCCTGGTGACACTCACACCAAGCCTCGCCCTGCACTGGCTGCTACCTCGGCTGTTGTCACCTGCCCTCCCTCAGCATCAGCCTCCACCCTGGACCCATCCAAGGACCCTGGGAATCCCCGGCCACATAGGCCTGAGACCACTCCCAGTATGGCTTCTCTGGGCCCAGGTGAGTCCCATCCCAGTGCAGAGATTGGCCCAGGCCCCTGCCACCAGCCAGTCCTCCTTGCATGGAGAGTGTGAACAGGAAGAAGGCAGGGGCTGCCCTCCAGCCGCTGATCCCACAGTGAGGAACAGGCAGCTGCCAGCCCACTCGCCAGTCACTGGCAGCATTGGTGGTCCCGGTTGTCACATCCTATGTCCACTACTCTCTTTTCCTTCCAAAACATGAAGCAGACACCACTGTTAACCTGACCCTTGGTGCCTCAGTCTCCCCATATGTAAAAGTGGATGGTGAGGAGGGAGGGAGAAGCACCATCATGAGTGTGTTTGCTGCTGTCACTGTTTTCCTCCCCACAAAGCCATGCAATAAAAAGGAAGGATGACCTGGGCAGATAGGAAGAAGGGAAGCCAGCCCAGACCAGGCCTCCCTGGGGCACTGGGGCATCTGACCTGGGCAGGCTATAAGGCTACCGCCTTGGCCGCGGATGCCTGTGGGCAAGTCCTGTGTACCAGGCCTTGCTGGGTGCAGGGTGGGCAGATGCAGCTGGTTCTCATCACACCCCCACAGGTGAGACAGACAGAAGTTAGCCAGAACAAGGGCAGGGACAGGCCAGGGACTTGGGAAGGAAGACAGGCAGGACAAGGGTGTAGGCAGTGAGGGTACTTCAGGGCTGCTACAGTGCCAGGCTAGGACAGACATTCCCCCAAAACCCACATCCCACAACCTCTGGAACAGGGAAGCTCTAGGAATGAGCTGACTCCAGGCTTCCTAGGCATGACAATGTGGCAGCATCTGTGACTTCTGTTGATGGCAGGGCCCACCTGCAAAGGTGCCCAGTGATGAGGGGGAGTACTGGCCTGGACAGAGTGTGAGCTGGCAGTAGGGGCTGAGCAATGGTTGAGCCACCTGGGAGAGCCAATCAGAGGATGAATTCTCCCAGGATGCTGTACTTGAGGTGCCAGAGGGCCAGAAGGGCTGGTGAGAGAAGACCTTGACCCGGGCTGTTCCCAGGGGAGGGCAGCCAAGTAGATGGGCAGGGTGCTCTCAGGCATCCCTGGTCCCTAGTGAGGAGCTCACTCATCTGCCCAGACTGGGCTGACTAGGCCATGGCTCCCTGGGGCAGAGCTCAGGGTCAACCAGGGCTCACGGGTCTCCCCAGAGAGGCCCTGGCACCACCCGTCCCAGCCTCCATCTCCACTGAGCACATACTCATCTCATTTGCCAGCCACCTGCCTGCCATAGACCAGGACCTGGTTCCCTACACAGCTGGCTCCAGCTGCTAGAGCAGTGCCTGGCCTGGGTGAGGGAGGGCCCCTCTCTGTCTCTTAGGACTCCACCCCCCGTCACTCCCTCCCCAGCTCTAGAGTCACCGTTCTTCCCATGGCCAGCCCCGGCACAATGGCCACAGGGATGAGTTCCTCAGAAGACTCTTCTATAGGCAGGACCAGGGCTGGACACTCCCCTCAGGCAGCTGTTCTTGCGTAACTGGGAAGAGGGGAGACCACTGAGGTGGGATGGGAGGGCAGGCGCTAGTTTTCTTGCTGACACCAGTCTACTAGACAGGCAGTCAGGACTTCTAGGGTGGGAGGAGTGGAGTAGGGCAAGAGGGGGCAGAAGCTGTCCCCAAGGCAGGACTTGAGGCAAGACACCCCTCCAGCAAGGTTGAGGGGCCTGAAGTGTGGGCCTCATGCAGGTCCTGAGAGGCAGAGTCAGGCTCAGGGGCCTCCCAGGACACCAGCCTGGGAGCCAACCAGCTCAGACTTGGCGCCAAGGCCATCAGCCTGCCCTGGGGAACAGGGAGAATCACCCTGATGACACAGTGTTTCAGCCTGGCCACCTGCTCCCCACAGACAAAAAGCCCAATGCCCAGGGAATTGAGGGAGCTCTAGCACCCCTTCTCAGCAGCCTGGAGCCCCAGGTAGGCCCCTTCCTGCAGGCCCACCCATAGTCCTTACAAGGTGGCTGGGATCACCTCACCCGGTCCTGTCTAGTAGACTGGTGTCAGCAAGAAAACCAACACTTGCCCTCCCATCTCACCTGAGTGGTCTCTCCCATCCCCTGTTACTCGGGAACAGCTGCCTGAGGGGCGTGTCCAGCCCTGGTCCTGCCTACAGGAGGAGCCTTCTGAGGAACTCATCCTGTGGCCATTGTGCTGGGGCTAGACATGGGAAGGATAGTGACTCTAGAGCTGGGGAGGGAGTGACGGGGGGATAGGGTCATGAGACAAGGCCTCTGCCAGATTGGGGCAGGCACTGTCCTCTGGGACCTGGAAGCCAGCAGGCAGGAGCCCCAGGCAGAATAGCTGGGTGACTACCAGAATAAACTATGGCCTGAGCAGCCACCAGTGGGGCTCAGGCTTTACCAGGAACTGGTACTCCTGCTGGTCAAGGAGGGGACCTGGCTCCCCCTGCTGGAGAGGGTGGAGGGCATCCTGACAAAGGAGCTGATGGGCAATGAGCAGAGGCCAGTGTGGTGGGAGTTGGCCAAGTGCCAGGAGGAGGACAGCCTGGGAAGTGGAGACCTGGGCACTGCAGGGCTGATGCTGAGTAACGGCCTGGCAGGCAGCCACAGTCTCAGCCTTTACCCCTTGGGCTCATCCAGTCCTTGGCACAACTGAGACCATTCCCAGCCCCTGCCTTGTGCCAAGAAGGTGTGGTCTGGCCCGGCAGGGGCCACAGTGCTGAAGTGCTACTGTATTCACCTTGGGGTGTTGGTGGATTTGGGGCCTGACCTTATTTCTGGTTGCTGCTCACATGAGCCGGAGGGGAGAGTGGACATCTGCCGACTCCACAAGCCCTCTCACAGTCTCACAGTAGTGCTTCACAAGGGGCTGGGGACTGTGCAGTCAGGTGTGGTTCCCACTGTGTCAGGTATACAGCCATCTAGGATGAGGAACCGGCCTCCGCCAGGGTCTGCTTGGGCAGTGAGCGTTTCCTGTCAGTACCAGCCTGGCCTTCCCACACAGCTATGAAAACTCATGCGTGCTGGTTCCTGGGCCTCCCCTGTGGAAAGGGAGAAGCATCTCCGTCCAGGGCCCCCCACATCAGCCACTCTTCCCTGCTGGGTGTCCCAGGGCAGAGCCCAGGCCCTCAGGACCTGGCACAGACACATAAGAGCCCATAGAGTGACTATGTAACCTCACATCTCTACAGAGGGAGAAGAACTGGCAAGAGTAGCAGAGGGTGCTGGCTTCCCACTGCAGGAGCCTCGGCACAGTCAGCAGGTAAAGACGGCCTTCGTGGGTTCCCCGGCAGAGCCACACTGCTGGCCAGCGGAGGCTGCCCCCCGGCCAGGTGCTGAGCCCACTTGCAGCCAGGGTAAGATGATCGGGAGCAGCCCAGCTCCAGGTCCCTCAGGACTGCCTCATGGCTGGCAGCCAGCTGGATTCCCCCCACCCGCCCCAGCCTGGGAGGGTGCCTGGCCTTCCCACACAGGGTCCCGTGAAGGAGATGAGGGAAGGAGATGGGGGTGGTGCTGTTTAAGCAGAGGAGGCAAGGAAGAGGCCCAAGCGGATGAGATTGGGGGATGGCCATGTGTCGGGAGCTGGGAAGAGAAGGACCCCAGAGCCTCTCATTTCACCTGATGTCACAGAGGGGCACTAGTGAGCACGAGTAACCTGCTAAGGCCCACTGCAGAGTCCAGGCTGAGCCCAGAGGACAGCAGGAAAGGGGTAGGCATGTGTGGGGAGGAGCTTGGGCCTGACTGAGGCATCCGAGGGACGTCAGCAGCAGGCAGAGGGTAGCTGGGGTGGCCTAGGCTATGCAGGCTTCCCCACCAGCAGCCAACTCAGATCCCAGACCCCGCCAAGTGTCCGGCCCGTTCCCACCAGCCACCCTGATCCACCAGGCCCCTCAGGGACTCCTCTTGGCCTGGACCTGCCACAAACTACTTAGGACTGGAGGACCTGGCGCCAGTCCCCAGAGGCCAGGCATGGGCTCTGAGTAAACCCCACTCCTTTTAAAGCCATGGGGCTGCAGAGGAATGTGGAGACGGGCCAGGCCAGCCGGGTCTTCCCAGATCACGCAGCTCCCTAAAGGCTGATAGGCCCTGGAACTGCAGCCTGCAGCCACCAACAGGCTCCAAGTAAACATGGCCCCTCACTTCAGAGCATGAGGGGAAAGTAGGTGTCTTGGGGGCAGCTTAGAGCCAGCTTAGTGACAAGGCGTGGACATCAATAGGACATGCATCCTAGGATGATTGTGGGAGTACAACAGTTCATGCAAGCATGATCCCAGCAGTCCCACAAAACCCCTGCAAAGGCTCAGGGAAGCTCCTCTGTGTCCCAGGCCCTGGGCTTCCACAGTTCATGGTGCTCCTGGGTGGGGATCACAAGCCAAATGACATGCAGGTCCAAGACCAGTGGGGCCAAGAGAAGGCGCCCAGGGTCTGATGCAGCAGGCAGGAAGCTCTCTTGGTGCCTTTGTCTTCCAGAAGGGAAACTGAGGCCTGACCTGGGAAGGGACAGGCAGGCTCAGCTATGAGTGAGGCTCAGCTCCTGAACTCTTCCCCCACAGCCACCAGCTCCAAGGTCCCCAGCAGTGGGAGTTCCCAGCCTCCCGAGGGCCACCCTGGCAAGGCAGAGCCCAGCCGCACCAAGTCACGCCTCCTGTCCAACATGCCAAAGCTGGTGATCCCCTCAGCCGCCACCAAGTTCCCGCCTGAGATCACTGTCACGCCGCCCACCCCAACCTTGCTCTCCCCCAAAGGCAGCATCTCTGAGGAGACCAAGCAGAAGCTGAAGGTGACCTCGGGCTCTGGGCAGGGGCCACCGGCAAGGGGTGGGGGTGCAAAAGCGAGGGTTGGTGGAGGCCCTGGGTGGGGTCCAGGTGTCCTGACCAGTGCCTGCCCGGCCCTCTCTGCAGTCTGCCATCCTTTCTGCCCAGTCGGCTGCCAACGTGAGAAAGGAGAGCCTGTGCCAGCCAGCCCTTGAGGTCCTGGAGACATCCAGCCAAGACTCCTCACTGGAGAGTGAGACAGACGAAGACGACGACTACATGGACATCTGAGGGGGCTGCCAAAGTGCCATAGCCATGTCCCATGGGACTGGCCAGGCCTTGAATGCCCTCAGCCTGGACTCCAGGCAAGGCCAGAGGCCCACATGGGATACCACTCCCATGCAGCCCCGAGGCCCGCCCAGCCCATGCACGGTGTCCTCCTTGCCCCCCGGTCGGGCTGTCTATGCCGCATGGGAGCCCAGAAGAGGAAGGGCCCATCTTGGCCTCATGAAGGTGGATTGGTCGCACTCTGCACCCTTTCTGTGAAATGCTGACTTTGTAAACCTGCCCACACCCAGCTGGCCGCATCTACCCTTCGGTGTCAAGATAAGCCATTCTCTGCCTGTGTCACAGTGGAGGGGTCATTTAGGGCTGGGCTCACCCCACACCCCTTTTTTTGGTTTCTTTTCTAATAAAGATGGAACACTTGTCTTTGCCTCTTTACTCACCCCTGGGGGGGAGGCCGGGGCAGGGCCTGGGGTCTCTGTCGGAGGATTGCTGTCCCCAGGGACTCCGGACCCCTCCTGCCATAGGGCAGGGCCCAGCCCTCAGCACCCCAGGACCAGCTAGGCACTCAGCCCAGCAGCTGGGGCACTCAGTGAGGTGAGAGGAAAGCACAGGCTGGGGCCCAACCAGTGCAGGCCCCTCCAGCAAGGCTGGAGCAAGAGATGTCAGGTATGTCCCCAGAGTTTACTGGGCACTGGAGGGTAGGAGACTACAGAGTAGAAGGCAGGCAGGGGGACCCTGGAGGGAGGGGACAGGGGAGTTGGGGCCAGCAAGAAGGGTGCTCACCTCCCGTCACACTCGCCCTGACAGGACTGGCCAATAAAAGTCATGGGGCCCCTTGTTCAAAATCATTAAGTATTTTAAGATGGTGGCCACACAGCACTAAACAAGCCCGTGGTGCTGGCCCTGCCCGCCACAGTTCCAGGCCTGCTGGTCCTGAGGCTGCATGGTTTCCAGGGGCCAAAGCCTGTTGTGCACAACTTGCTTACAGTGCCTCGGGCCACGTCTGCCCTACTCCTGGGGCTTCCCCCGGAGCAGACTGTCCAGAATGGAGATGGGAACCCTCACTGCCCTGTGCCCCTTGTGGGCTGGACGCATGCACACCATCCAGGAAGGAAGGCACAAAGGGCTGAGGGCCCAGGGCCAAAGGCACAGTGGCCCTAGTTGGGTTTGGCTGAACCTGCCTTCAGAGGGCTGAACTAATAGACCACAGTGATTGGGCTAACGTCCCCTCCCTGCAAAGCCTGGGACACAGAGGCCCTAGACTGCACATCTAATACCTGCTGCTCTTCCATCCTTCTCTACAGATACAGCAGCCAAGGTGCCCACCAGAACCGGAAATATCACTCCTCCCTCCGCCCATTTCCCAGGAACTCTGGGAACCCAGGCATCCTTCCCTGAGCCCTCAAGACCTCACTTCACCCCTACCCAGTGCTGTAAAGCACTCTCAGCCCTGGGCCTGGGATGAGTCCCTGCACCAACCTAGGGCTGGGGACCAAAGTCTTCCTTACATGCAGGGTCCACAAGCAAGTGCCCACCTGCAGAGGTGCCCTGAGCGCCCAGCAACCCTGTGGGCTGAGGGAACTTCTCCAATGTGGAAACTGAGTCCCTGATAAGCTGGAGGTCTTGAGGGCTTCTCACCAAATGTCTTTAGGAGGGGGTCAGATGTGGAGTGGGGGTAGGGCTGTGCTGGGAGCAGCTCTGTGTGGGGCTCAGGAGCCAAGCCCCACAACGAAGGCCTCCAACGCTTTCAGCAGGAGCCACTTCTCTGGAAGCTGGACCCACAGGAACACCGCAGGTGGCTGCCAACACCCTGTGGTTAGCAGGCACACCCACCAGGCTAGAGAGGGAACGGGATACAGGGAACAATGGGCTGGCAGGGCCCCAGGAGCTGGGGCGGGTAGGCAGCCCAGATGGCCCGGGTTCATGCCTTGGGGCCAGCTCCAGCTCTCTGCCTGTGAAGTTGGCAAGCGTCCTGTTTGGACACCTTGAGAAGGTGTCTGGACATCCAGCCTGGGTGGCAGGACCCAAATGACAAGTCCCAGGCCTGGGCCCTCACAGTCCATCCTGACTGCGGAGCTCCCAAAAGCCACCAGGGACCTGACTTGGCTCTACCACCTCTCCTGGTGACTTTGGCCCTGCCTGTCCCCATGTGGGCTTCAGTCTCATAGGCACAAGGAGGGAGGGGAATACTGAAGAGATTATGCTAATTCCGAGAGTGATCAGATTGGGTGTGCCCTGGGTGGAGGCATTTCTGGCGGCCAGAGATGGGCCCTGTCTTTCTGGGGGCACGTGGGGGAGCAGCTGGGCTCAGGCATCTCTCTCTTGTTCGCTTCCTCCTTCCTCCCTCCAGAGGGGATCCCTGCAGAGCTGAGCAGAGTTCAGCCAATGTGTGGCCTGACAGCCTCTGCCTCCCCAAAGGGATATACTTGGGAACACCACCTCCCTGCAGGAAGGTGAAGCAAAGATAGGTCAATGCCAGGACCATCGGGGCTGGCATCCTGCTGATAACCAGGACAACCTGCCTTACCCATCCTGCAGCATCCCATTCCCTGTGGGAGCCCCGCCAGACACGCCCTGCAGGCGGGGCAGGATCAGGACCCAGGGTGGGAGAGGCGGCCTCAGGACATCCGGCTCATTGCCTGCCAAAAGTCCTGCAGCTGGAGGCTTCAGTCCCCTCTCCTCCAACAGAGTCCCAGAGCCGAGGTTTGGCACCCTCCCCCGTGTCCCAGGCCTGTGGACCAAGAATGTGCTAACGGGGCAGGTCGGGCCCCGCTGGTCCACGAAGGCACCTGT